GGGGGGGGGGGGGGGGGGGAGGCTTAGATAGGGAGATTATGTTGATTGTGTCAGATTTATTTATTTTCTGCCCTTCTTGGGTGACAAATTCGTATGGAAAGAAAATGCTTTAAGTTGGTCACACTTGTTGTGGAAATTGTAAATGCGTTACTATTTTCCTCATTAATACAGACAACCATAGGAAATATTTTCAAATTTCCTTTTCCATTTGTTTCTTAAAATTTTATTTTGGTTGATTGTTATTATATCATGGAATTAGAAATAAAATGAAAAGAAAGAGATGTGGAGATATGAATGGCGTATGAAGAAGAAAGAGATGATAATGGGCATAAAAATGTTGGGTCTAAAATTAAGGGTGGGTGCCCGGGTGTGCTGTATCTAGGGATCCTGTCCGCTGGGTTTATATATATATATATAAAACTCGTAAAGCTTAGTATTTTACACGTGGGTGTGGGTTGTGGGTTGTGTTGAATTGGAATTAGAATGGGATAATAATAATTAAAAAAGAAAACATAAATTAAACCCAATAATAGTGGGTGCCATTATGTGTTCAGTCATCCCCAGCTGTCGCTTATGAGTAGCCCGCTTCCAATCTTCCGAACCCTAACCTGCTGAGTTGTGACCCCTCCCTCTCTGTTTATATCTGAGTTGTAACTTTGAAGTTTGAGGATTTGAATGGATTGATTTGTTGTAGGCATTGTCAGCAATCGGAGATTGTTACTTTATTACAGATTGTTTAATTAAACGATCAAATAGTATACAAATACGTATTGCAATTAAACACTCAATATTTTTGTTTCAAATATTTGTCATATAAATAAAATTTTAAATTCAAAATTCTGGTAAATACAAATGGTTAAAGATTATTAAAAACTAATTTTAAGAGTTGAAATAAATTCCTAAACTATTTAAGCTTCATTATTAATAAGGGTGGCGAATAACACACGTGAAAGGCATTAATAATAGAGCAGTAATAGGTGCACATGCACGACCAAACTCATTATACGCTCTGTTACCAACATTTTCCTCCACATTTCCCACAATATTTAAATGCTTTTTCCCCCAAAATAATATTTATAATAATAAATCAAAGAATCTGTACAAATTAATATTAAATACTGCTATTTGTTTTAAATTTATTTTTTATTTTTACAATTTTATTTCATCAGAAACACAGCCTCAATTGGTTCCCAGGTCATTTTGTTTCGAAGCTCCACCAGAGAGGTTGCTAAAATTTGAATTTTCGTCTTCAAGATCCGGCCGCTGCATCAACAAGGTAACTGGAGTGCTATATGGTGCACAAGTGTTATGAACCAATTGAAGCAGATTCATGCCTACAGCCTCAGAAACGGCGTAGATTATACCAAATTCCTCATCGAAAAACTCCTGCAGATCCCAAATCTACCGTATGCTTGCACCCTCTTCGACCTTATTCCTAAACCTTCTGTTTTTCTTTACAACAAGTTCATTCAAACATTTTCTTCCATTGGTCACCCCCACCGATGCTGGTTGCTTTATTATCAAATGTGCCTCCAAGGTTGCTCGCCCAATCACCATTCATTCACCTTTCTCTTTCCCGCATGCGCTTCCTTTTTAAATGCTTACCCAGGTCAGATGCTTCATTCCCATTTCTGTAAGTCCGGATTTGCCTCCGATGTATTTGCTTTGACGGCGTTGTTGGACATGTATGGGAAATTGGGAATTTTGAAGTCCGCACGCCAACTGTTTGATGAAATGCCTGTTCGAGATATACCCACTTGGAATTCGATGATTGCAGGATATGCGAGGTCCGGGTACATGGGGGCAGCATTGGAATTGTTCGACAAAATGCCTATCAGAAATGTGATCTCTTGGACAGCCTTGATATCTGGATATGCGCAGAATGGCAAGTATGCGAAGGCCTTGGAGATGTTTCTGAGGTTGGAAAACGAGAAAGGCACTAAACCGAATGAGGTGACCATAGCCAGTGTTCTTCCTGCCTGTGCCCAGCTTGGGGCGTTGGATATTGGGAAGAGGATTGAAGTCTACGCTCGGAAGAATGGGTTTTTCAAAAACTTGTATGTGAGCAATGCGATACTGGAAGTGCATGCTAGGTGCGGTAACATTGAGGAAGCTAGGCGAGTTTTTGATGAGATTGGAAGCAAAAGAAATTTGTGCTCATGGAATACCATGATAATGGGATTGGCTGTTCATGGAAGATGCCCTGATGCTCTTCAGCTTTATGATCAAATGTTGGTGAGCCTTCTGTATCCTTCTTCCTCCGTTCGGTTTGGATTTTAGTTTTTAAATCACCAATAAATTCAGATGTTTAAGTGGGTAGAGTATGTTATACTTCATCTTTTATGTGTGTGCTTGACGTGTTCTCACTTGTATGCTTGACATAATCTCCTACTTTGATGCATGTAAACTACTGCTAGATCTAAAACGTTGAAGCTGATGCGTTATGGCATTGTTCTTAAAAACTAATTGTATTGTCGTAACAGATACAAAGAACAAGACCCGATGACGTGACATTTGTAGGGCTGCTCTTGGCTTGCACTCACGGGGGCATGGTTGCGAAAGGTCGTCAAATCTTTGAATCAATGGAGATAAAGTTTCAAATTGCTCCCAAATTAGAGCACTATGGGTGCTTGGTCGACCTATTGGGCAGGGCGGGAGAGATAGAAGAAGCTTACAGCCTCATTCAGAGCATGCCAATGTTTCCTGATTCTGTTATATGGGGAGCTCTTCTGGGAGCTTGCAGCTTCCACGGCAATGTTGAACTGGGTGAAGTAGCAGCTGAGTCCTTATTCAAGCTAGAGCCATGGAACCCTGGAAACTATGTCATTCTCTCAAACATTTACGCATCGGCCGGGGATTGGTCCGGAGTTGCGAGGGTGAGGAAGATGATGAAGGGAGGACATATTAGGAAGAGAGCAGGATGTAGTTATATTGAAGTGGGAGATGGGATTCATGAGTTCATTGTGGAAGATAGATCACATCCGAAGAGTGATGAAATATATGCTTTGCTTCATGCCATTTATGCCATTATAAAACTTCATAGCCAAAACGAAGGTGAAGAAGAACTACTGTATTCTTCATACATATGAGTGTACTTATTATTATTAGCAGCAGTTTGGTTTCTAATGTTTGAAAAGTTTCTTGAAGTCTTCAGTTTCAGTTTGGCGCCTAACAAGTTTTTGAATTTTAATTTTTTAATTAAATTCTTAAAATTTTAATTTTATATTTAATAAGTTTGAAATTTCAATTTTGTTAAATTTCTAATAAAAATGAATGTTAATTTTAAAAGTTATGAAAGTATATTAATTTATTGTCTTCTTTTAGTTCCAAAATAAATCTTTTTTTTTTTTTTAGAAATCTTTGTCGTTTTTTTTTTTTGGGGAGAAAATCATTCGGCTAATCGGACGGTCGGAAATGTACAACATCAATGCTAGGGCTCGCTTTCGCTATTTAAAATGAACAGAATTGGATCATCAAGGCTTCGTAAGAAACGACTCGGGCTTTCTCTTCCTCTCTCCTAGGGTTTTTCTCTTCCGTTCGAATCCGAGAATCCACAAGGTTTGTTATCTTTAATCCTTTGGTGGTTGATCGTTTTGTTTCTGGTTAAACCCTGAAAGTTAGTTCTTCGTTTACGATTTTTTTTTTGTTCCCTCTAATCCCATTTATCTTTTGTGGTTTGATTAGAAAGGAAATAGCTCATTTCAAGTTCACGAAGTTGCTTNTCATTTTTTTTTTTTTTTTTTTTTTTTTTTTTTTTTTTTTTTGGTGGGGGTGGATGGAGCTGTAATCTTTTTCCACTTATCATTTGCTAATATTGTAACTTATTGGCTTCGTTTTGTTTCGGTTGAATATTTCCTACAGCGCGATTAACAGTAGCAACGATGAGGCCGATATTTGTTGGGAACTTCGGGTATGACACCCGGCAATCTGAACTGGAGCGGTTATTCGCCAAATATGGGAGAGTTGAAAGGATCGACATGAAGTCTGGTATATAGCAATTTCTCTGTACTAGTTTGCATGCCATTTTTAACGAAGATATTATAAATTTGGTCATGACTCGTGTAGATTTTATTGTATGAAGGATCCATTTTTGTGGTCAGCTTCGAACGATTGCTTATGTTGAATATTGCTCCTCAATTCTTTTGGTATTACTATTGGTGGAATGAGTGGGTTGCGATGCTTACTTATTTATTATTATTTTTTGGACCTGTATATTTCGTCTCCTAGTTTTGACATGCAAGGAAAAAGATGTATTGATATGATCGTGTTCAGTTTGGTTAGGTACATGCGCAATGGATGGTGCTTTTGGATTATGTGTGCATGTTTTAACATAAATTCTTCACTGTTCCCAATTTTCCATCCTCCTTCTGTAGCGTGTTGAGATTGGTAGGCCCACAAGTGTCTGTATGCTTGTATTTATGGATGACTCTTTGGTGTAGATTTTACTTAGTATTGTCAAGTAGAATTCCTACTTTTCAGCTTCCTAGTTGGATAATTTTTTTTCTGTTACTCGTGGACTTTTGTACTTCAATTCCATCATTCGAATCATCTTTCAGCTTCCTAGTTTGAATTGACGTTTTTCTTCTGGAAAAGTTCCTTGGCCCTCACCCACCTTGCCTGACATCCTTAATCCTTCAAAGTTATAATGATTTATAGATTTTGGGTATACTGGTTTATTGAATTATGGTATTTTAGTGCGAGGCCGCCCTACTGATAATAATACTAGGTATGAAAGTAATGTCATGTTTTTATCAATAATACTAAAATTGATGTTTTTTAAATTATAAAACCAGTTTGTGACATGGATCCATAGCTATTATGCTATGATAATATCCAATGGTCCTTTTTTTTTTTTTTTTTTTTTTTTATGAAAACTTGATGGCAGGCACAAATTTACTATTTTTATGGGGGAAACCTCCATATAAGATGTTTCTTTTGACGCAGGAATTTCTTCTAAGGAAAATGAGCCAGGCTCCTATCTGGGCTCACCACCATCTGTGCATAAAATTTATTTTGGAAGGAAACTTCCTGCTTGCCTGCTTAGCTTCACCTACAGATAGCATCATCCTGATTTTTCTTCAATCAATCATTCGTCATTCATCTACCTCATCACTTAAGTTGCAATACAACAGAATCGTCTTAATGGATTGATCTTTATCTCATGCCTCATCAATTAAGTTGCAATTCACCAGAATCGTGTTAATGGATTGACTATATCTCTTGCCTTTGCCTACCTATCACCACTGATCATAGGACTTCACTGAATTCTGGTCATGCCTTCCATATGATATTAGTGGCTGAATGAAATCTGTCATGCCATGCCTTCCATTTCTGAACTCGTGCTGTGTGAAAGGCGAAGCATAGTTGAAATTTTGGATATAAACCTTTAGTATGCAACCATCTTAGTTCATCATGCAACGTCTCTACAGCTATATGTGCATCAGTTCTCCCATATTTGCAGGTGTTGTATTTTTATAGTTTATCCCAGGGAAAGAAATGACGAGGCTGGGTGACAATACCTGCTAAATGGATAAGGCTTCAACATCTTACCATGTTTTATACATCTAATTGTTTGTATTTTTCAGGTTTTGCCTTTGTTTACTTTGAAGAAGAGAGGGATGCTGAAGATTCTATTCGTAGCCTTGACAACATGCCATTTGGTTATGATAGACGCAGATTGTCTGTGGAATGGGCTAGGGTAGTCCTCTCTCCTCCCTCCGTCCCTTTTTTTTGGGTTTATGCATTTTAAAAGCTGGTTTATCCATTTTCTGAAGACGTTTATTTATATTCATTCTGCCAGCAATAGGTGATTTTAACATTAGCTTTTGATTGGGTTGGGTTAGGGTGAGCGGGGTCGCAGTCGTGATGGATCCAAGTCAATGGCAAATCAGAGGCCAACCAAAACCTTGTTTGTGATCAATTTCGACCCAATTCGTACTAGAGTTCGTGATATTGAAAGACACTTTGAACCTTATGGAAAGGTGCTCAATGTTCGCATTAGAAGGAACTTTGCATTTGTACAATTTGAGACGCAGGAGGAGGCAACCAAGGCCCTTGAGTGTACCCACATGAGGTAAGCTGAGTTTTGAGTCTCCTGCATGTATGCTTGCTCTTTTTATTTGGTGTATTTATTTTCTTTACAGCTAAATGGCGTAAAATATTTTATTGTTCTTTGTAATTTTGCAGCAAAATATTAGACAGGGTTGTATCAGTTGAGTATGCTTTGAGGGATGACGGTGAGAGGGGTGACCATTATGACGATAGCCCTCGAAGAGCAGCTTATGGGCGGCTTGGGGATAGTCCTTATCGGAGGTCACCTAGTCCTGTGTATCACCGTCGACCAAGTCCTGACTACGGACGAGCTCGCAGCCCTGCTTATGACAGGTATAATGGCCCTTATGAACGACGTAGGAGCCCTGATTATGGCAGGAATCGGAGCCCTGAATTTGGCAGGAATCGGAGCCCTGAAGTTGGCAGGAATCGGAGCCCTGAATTTGGCAGGAATCGGAGCCCTGAATTTGGCAGGAATCGGAGCCCTGAAGTTGGCAGGAATCGGAGCCCTGAATTTGGCAGGAACCGGAGCCCTGAATTTGGCAGGAACCGGAGCCCTGAATTTGGCAGGAACCGGAGCCCTGAATTTGGCAGGAACCGGAGCCCTGAATTTGGCAGGAATCGGAGCCCTGAATATGGTAGTGTTCGCAGGTAATCTTTCTTCTTTGATATTTGGCACAGCCAGCCTCTATTTTGCCATAGCCTTGTAATTCTAGCTAAGCACTCCGTTTCTCATGCCTTTGTTGACAGTCGTTCACCCATTCGGAGGTCAAGAACCTAAAGGAAATCGGACCCATTTGGAGGTCAAGAACCCGAGGGAAATCTAATTTATAATTTTCCGTAGTTACATTCACAGGTTTAGGTCTGGAGTGTTAAGGGATAGTGAGGAGTTTCTGTACAACCCTCGTGTTGAGTATTTGAACTAATGTTGGTAGATTTGGTATAATGAAGAAACCGTGGTTTTGATATATTTTTTGAAGCCTGTCGTCTTTGTCTTAACAATTGTTTAATTGGGAACTATCCAGAATGCTTGAGGTAAGTAAAAACGTTGGAACAGGATGATATATAACAAAATGGCAGATTACGGCAATTTTGTGTAATTCTACGGATTTAATGTTACATGAGATGAGAGGTTAGGTGCATTAGGACATCGTCGTCATGTTTTTTAGGTGAATTAAAGCCACATGTAGGGATCTGATACCCTACTCGTTGGCCAAACTTAGTTCCATGGATAATGGACAAGTTTTGATTGTCTAGTGGGTCTCGTAAGATGGTGTATCCAGATTGTGAGATAGTCGCTGTCTACAATTTGGTAGTGAAGCTGCTTGAAATCAGCCAAGTTTATGGTATGTGATAGGGGTGGTGGCTAAATGGAGAAGGTTGAAAATGGAAGTTAGTAGAGAATTCAAGCCTTGAATGATTATTTCATAAAGAAAGAAGGTAAACAGGAATTGAGGAATTATGTTACAGAGAAAGGAGAAAGAGTTGTGGGAAATGAAATGAAATGAAATTAGCAACATTCGTTGGTGATCTTGAACTTCTCCAAAACCACTTTGCCTTCTTTGTACCTCTGAGTCTCATCATAAGCCTTGATGTATTTCCATCCCAACATTTGGCCACACTCCGAACAAAACAAATCAGAAACTATGTATGTTCCGCTGAGTAACATCTTCTCCTGTTGAGGCCCCTCTTCCACATTCCTAGCTTCGTAGAACAAGAACGCTCTTCCCCTCAGCGACTGCACCAACACCACAAATTATATTCCTATAAATAACAAAATCAAAATCAAAACCCAAACCCAAACCCAAACCCAAACATCTTTGTTGTTGTTACCTGAAACCCTTTCGAAATAATGTCATCATGTCGTGATACTTCATTACTGCAATTCTGGCAACTGTACAGCCGCGCCCCGATCATCAAATCCGCCATTGTTGATGATGATAATGATCCTCTTCTGCACCTTCGAAACCAAGCCCTCAGAAAGGTATGTAAAGTTGTTCCTTTTAAAGGATGAATTTGCCAAATGGGGGCGATCATTCAGGGATTTTCTTAACCATAACAATATTTTCCTTCTATCTTTTCTTTTAAATAAAAGATAATGACGCATATTCATTATATGTTACTTAATTTTATAAAACTCGTGTTCATAAATATTATTTACAACGAAAACTTGTTCTTAAAATATTGTTCATATCAAATCAAACAGCTTTGAATTTATATAAATATATATATTATGATATCTTCTCTGCTTCCTTGCAGATATGAGTGGATAAAAGGTTCACGACAAGTAATCCCTTTATTTTATCTTCCCCAAACACTTCATGTAGTTTTGAATATCTAAGAAAACGACATTTCGAGATTAAACCTGTCATCAATGACTAATACGACTGCATAAATGCCTATGGCCCCTGTTATTTACTATACTAAACATTACGCTAAATTACACGTTTATCCCCTTAAAATTCCCATTTTTCTGGAAGCCATGAATTCATTGAGAAAAATGTTGAAATCTTGGACACGAATTCAACTTTTATGCGTAATGAAAAGCTGATATTGCCTATAGGCCCTCTTCAGTTATGCATTGATTGAACACAGTTAGAAGTTGGGAAAAAGAATGAGTTGGGAGCAATAGAACGTGTTGTGCACAGAATTCAACTCCAAAAGTACAAAAAAGAATCCACTTTTGGGACAGCGACTTCTTCCAAAACCAGGCGCGCCCACCATAGGGATTCAACCTTTTAAAGTATATCATGTTGTCCTGCTCATGCTTTCATCCAGAGGGACACACGAAACGAACAGAAAAAAACAACACACAACCAGAAAAATAAAATGAAAGTGTGTGTATGCATGCATGTGCACTCAATGAATCAGCTTCTTCTTTGCAATCCATCTCTTTCTGGTGGCCTCTACTGCCTCCTCTCTCATTCGAGACAGCTCCTCCACCAGCTGCTGATAATGTCTCTCAATAGCATCAAGTTCCATCTCCAGTTCGGCATCCAGATCCTTGTCCGTTAAGGATAGCGAAGAACAACTGCTTGTCAAGCTCATCACATTAGCTGCTGCTTCATTTGCCAATGACATCACTGAGTTCTTCACAAAATAATCCATGGGATTCAACTTTCCAACATCTAATGCACCTTGGAGCTCTAGTTCTGCAGCCGACCAGGTCGACGACCCCTTTGAGCTTCCATCAACAATATTCGAACAATCCATCACCTTAGCACTTTTGGTCGAACAGTCTTTGACCAATAACTCTGATGCGAATGAAGTATGAGAACTCAGGTCCTCAAACTTAGCGAAGCTGGGAGAAGAAGGGCAAGTATCAAAAATTTGACTATTGGGAATATCATCAGCCCAGCCACCATCTCCATTCGATTGCAGACCATCATCCACCCCATTTAACATTGAATCCCATGGAGATGCAATAGATGATTTGGCACTTAAAAGGGTAGGGGGGCCGCCACAAAGACTCAACTCTCCATTTAAGGAATAATAAAACAACGGCTTCCAACCAGGTACCAGTTTTGTTATCAATAAGTCAATAAGTTCAGCTACGAAATCAACATCATGATTTTCCAACTCCAATTGTTCAGCCATTTCAGCTGCCACTGATAGTGCAGTATCAGAACCAAGATAAAACGTAAAATGTATATTCCTCACTCGACCTGCAAGTTAAAGTGTAGTTCATATAGATCATGAGAAAGGAACAAAAACCAATCACATACAAAACGGGCAAACATTGAGACACAAAGTTGAGCTGACCGTTCGAGTCTGCAATACGCAAGGTTAACACCACCGAGTTGTCGTCATTCTTATTTCCACGTAACCTAAACTCATTGTTCTTGTTCATAGTCTGGAATTCCATGTCTGGAAACAGTGGACTCCCACTATTGCTTTCAGCACTGGTGGTCATAGAATGTTGTTTGAGGTCAATGTCAATAGGTTCACTCTTTGGCAAATTTATCGATTTAGGAACATGGTTAGGTAACTGTAGGAGATCGTGCGTTGATTCCTTGGGGTTCTCAACTTGAAGGAATGAATCTTTAAGAAGCTCTTTTGCAGACAACCTATCTTGCACCGGAACCAAACATTTATTGATGAACTCCTTGGTTTGTGGATCACTCACCTTATCAAGGGAAGCAGGTTTAATACCCTGATTAAGAAGGTCAGCATGGAAACTATTGTCAGCAAAGAAAGCTAATGGGTGACACATGACAATGGAAGTGGGAATTGTTTGGCTTACAGATGTAACTTTCTTGAAGATCTGAGCCGGATTTTTACATTCACTATAAGGATACTCAAACGTAACCATCTCCAGCATGCACATCCCAAAAGCATATACATCAATAAGCTCATTGTACTCCTCTTCATAAAGCTCAGGAGCCATGAACTCAGGAGTTCCTTGCGTAAAGAAACACGAACTTCAATACATTTTCCCTTCAGTTCTTTTTTAAAATTAAGACAACAAGTGATGCATTAATTCGTTAGCATACCAATTACACTTCGAGCAGTAGGCTGCTTCAAAATAATAGCTAATCCAAGATCTCCAATCTTAACTTCTCCATGATTCCCATTAATAAAAATATTATCACCTTTCAAATCTCTATGAATAATGGGAGGATTGTGACTGTGAAGATAGTCCAAGCCTCGGAGAATCTGTCGCGCCCAATTCTTTATGGCCTTCATATTAACATGTTTGTGCTTCTTACGGTATCTGACAGACAAAAGGAAAGCAAGTAAACTAAAGAGAAAATGAAGTTTAAACCATAAAAAGACTAAATACATACTGTCTCAAATTCCCAGATGTGAAGAGCTCAGTAATAATGTTGACTGTTTTATTCTTATCATCCACCCATGAATTGTAGAACTTGATAATGTTCTCATGTCTTAAGGATTTAAGTAAAAGTACTTCGGAGTACAACTTTTCCAAATCCTCAGGAGACTGCAGGAAACCATCAATCCTTACTTGGTTCCAGGCAACTTCAATGCCATCAACTTCGTCAAATGCCTTGTAACTGAATGGAGGGGGAAACGAAAGTAGAAACTATTAGAAACCAACATGAGCATTCTTCATGTAATCTTCTCTACTAAAGCAAATACGTTCAAAAGAAGTGCAAAAAGCAGGAAGAGGAGATAGTGATGAAGTCTTAGAACCATACACTGTCTTGAAAGCGCCCCTTCCCACGATTTCATCGAACTGTTGTCCACAGACGAGGGGAAAAAATGAAGACATAGCATAGGTTTAAATAAATAACTTAAGGAAACGAAAGTGCAAACTAGTAGCAGACATAAACTCCATTTGTTCAATTTTAATACAGTTGGGGCACAATTCTTTAGTCCTGAAGTGAAAACTTGCAGGCCAGGGCACATATTGTGGTGTTTCTGGAATTGGGGGAAAAAATTATTGTAACAGGGATGATCTCAACACAAACGAATGATAGTGCAGCAGAATGGAAGAAGATCCCAAGAACACACGCATGTGCATCAAAATTCGAAACTGTATAGTTGTTATCCATGAATCAAAAAACTCAGCTATCTTGTAGGGAAGGAAGCGAATGTCACTGAAACAACGAAACAAAGAATGATTAAAGCAATAAAATGGATCCGAGCATTCAGTTTTTTACCCGAACGTATCGACCGTTTGGATCTTTCTCGGCAGCAGTATCAAGAGACTCCATACTTCCAACTAAGGCACTGATTTGGATGAGCTATGCACTCATTTTTGGTAGAAAACGCAGGTGGTTACCAAAAGAGGAGGATTCGAAAGGGGTGAAATTGTTAGTCTAAGAAAATAGAGCAATGGTGGTGTTGGGTGAAGCTAGATCGGAGTTGGACGAGGAGGATGGTCGGAAATGCAAAAAGAACTGAATGCCGATTGCAAGGGAAATCGGCATTCCATAAGAAAAGGCAATGGCGATGAATGGTTAGAAGAAGCAGGGCCTGTGTCCATAGTATACCAAAATTTCGGTGTTAAAGCGCAACACAGTTCTGGAACACCATGTTCATCGCCTGAGTACGAACTCCTCTTCCTCCTACCCCAAAAGGAAACAGAGAGAGACTAAAATGCGTAGAGAAATTGGTTGGGAGTTGAAATAGGAAAAAAGGAAAAAGGAAAAAGGAAAATGAAAAGGAATCGGGATTGCGAATAAAAAAGAGATCGATCTGGAATTCTAAAATTTGCGGAATTGAAGGCACAACAAACACTTGTTTGGTTGGAAAGAACCCCAAAATAATCTCCTTCAAATTCTTCCCAAAAATGAATTCCCTTCCAATCGAACCATTTTTGGAAACAAGATGATACCTCCGCATCTCCTTTGTGACAAAATGTGGCGCATTTTAAATTTCTTGTTACGCACATAAAATACAATTCTCAAATATCTATATATTTGAGATGAACTCAAACAACATGTTGCCGGCCCAGTATAAGAGCAAGCTTATGGGGACTGGAGGTGGCTGCCAGGATTAAATTGGTGGTTTGTAGCCTGCCTTCAAGTTTATCCCCTTGTCGCTCTCAGAGTTGCACAATCGATTGCTTACTACACCATCATCCCCCACTGCGGAATCAGGCAGCCGGGAAGAGGTGTTCTTCTTCTGATGCTACATAATGTGGACTGGAACAACTGGCCAAGCTTCCTTCTTCGTCCCTGTCTGCCATCTGTTCCAAGTTGGCAAAATTGTATGGGTGCGGCTTCCATTCAAAATTAATAGCGTGAGGAGAGGATATGCCAATCCCCAAGTCAACGCATTCAATTTCTGGTCGATACCAAAAAGAATTCAATCAATAAAGGGATGATGAGTGAATTTTGTGTGGATGGAAAAGAATATGAATGACAATCTGCGCAAAGCAACCCGAAGAATGGCAAGGAATCCAAACCACATAAGATTCCCTTTTCTACAACCAATTTTGAAATCCAAATAACAATTTTGAAGCTTCAAGTCCATTTGTTTGGTCGGATTAGGCCGTGGAAATATTGATTCATCCACAGAAATGGGGTCGAAATAAGACAAGAACTAGTCGGTGAATGGGTTTGTTGAGCTAATTCTTGCTCTACCCAACCGTTGATCGCCACAACACAACCCACCCATTTGGCTTCTTCCCTTCCTTCATCCCTTTTCCTTCTTTTCTCAAAGAAAAACCCCAATTTCAGCCGGTCGTCGTCTCAGCGATTTGGATGAAGAAGTAGACTGAGTAAGCAGAGGAGCAAATGGGTTTGATCAGTAATCGAGTAGAGAGAGGCGCAATCAAACCAGGCGACCACATTTACACTTACAGAGCTGTTTTCGCCTACTCCCATCATGGTACTTCTCCTCACATTTCTTCCCCTCCTTTTGAACTTTTTGATTCCGTGCAACGAAAACGACCAGGGTTTCACTGCTCTTCTCATTTCTGTATCTGGGCTTTTTTCGATCTGTGCTCCCTTGCGCTTCATAGTGCATTTCTGGGAACATATACATATATCATAGGAGACCCCATTCCAAGATTTGCTTTATTATTCTCTGGATGCAGGAATCTTTGTAGGGGGAAGCAAGGTCGTGCATTTTAGACCTCAGAGAAACTTGAATTCAAGCACCGACACACCTCCTCAGTTCTATGATTCGAGTTCAAGCAATCCATCATCCTGTCCAATCTTCGCTGACTGCGGATTTAGACAGCCAAACAGCGGGGTAGTCCTTTCTTGTCTGGACTGCTTCCTGAGGAATGGATCCCTCTACTGCTTTGAGTATGGAGTCACCCCGTCAGTTTTCCTGTCCAGGGTAAGGGGTGGGACATGCACCACGGCAGCATCCGACTCATTTGATATGGTCATTCACCGAGCCATGTATCTTCTTCAAAATGGATTTGGTAACTACAATGTGTTTCAAAACAACTGTGAGGACTTTGCTCTGTACTGCAAAACGGGTGTTCTGATAGAGGACAGGCTTGGGGTTGGAATAAGTGGCCAAGCTTCTTCTGTTGTAGGTGCTCCATTAGCTGCCATCCTTTCCTCTCCTCTGAAGTTACTAATGCCAAGCCCTGTAGGCATGGCTGTGATGACTGCTGGAATGTACAGCATGAGTAGATACGCCACTGACATTGGTGTTCGAACTGATGTGGTTAAGGTGGCAGTGGAACACTTGCCACTTAATAATCTCGAGCCATTGAGCACCGAAGATGAAGATGATGAAGAAGAAGAAGAAGAAGAAGAAGAAGAAGAAGAAGAAGAAGAAGAAGAAGATGAAGATGATGAAGAAGAAGCCTCCACCTAGAAATGCTGGAGGCCAGGTGACATCAACTCCATTTTCTAGTTGAACTATGGCAGGAGAGAAACGAAACATTTCTTAATAAAGTGTATAAATCTCGGGTGAGATTTTCCTATTGAATTTATTAAACTTCGTGAGATTCTCCTATGGAATTTATTAAACTAAATTTGAAGGACTAGTTTGGAGTTCTTAATTACCATATATTTCATATTTTAAAAAAATACTTCTACACTATGATAGTTTTTCTAAAATGTAGTATTTTGATGTCAACAAGCTAAATCAATTCGATCAAATTGTTTGATTGGATAGAAGAATAATAGATTGAACGTGACAGGACAATGGAGAAGGGAATCCTGACATCGATATTAAATTGAACAAAGTAACTCAAATCAAACCAATGCAAGAAATCAAATAAAAGATGGAATTCCAACAACTATAGATGTGGTGTGTGCATACTATTTAACTCATTTTCATAAAAATTAACTTTAAATAATTAAATTTAAAAATTATTAGAAATAAAATGACTAAATTTAAGATCTTTCATTCACTTCTTGTTTCCCAGCTCCTAAACAAATCCACACTTAAATTCTTTAATTTCAAGCGTAAGCTGTTCACAAGTTGGAGCCTTTCTCTCCAATAATAACCAAATAGGTAAGTTTGAAGATAAATTCAATCATTTCTTCATCCATTAGAAACCAAGTGTCTCCTCTTGAATTGTTCGTTAAATTTATTTATAATTGGTTTGATTGAACGATACAACTTTAATTAATATCTAAGATGCGTCTAACTGTGTCTCTAATCAATAAACAGGAAATGAATTGAGCTAAAATTGACACCAAGGTTGAAGATTGTACGGAATAAATCATGTAATTACTCTGACCTAAAATTTATTTGTTTAGTTGGGGCGGTGGTAAGTGTCGTTATAATGCTTTCTAAATATCATCAGAGCTTGGTTACCAATTTTGAGCACTGGTTTTCGATCATTCATCCAACCCCACGAAGAAACCTTACCTAAAATCTATCTGGGTTTCGTTTGTAATATTCGAGCTACTTAGCACGCGATCGAACGCTGCAATCTGTTTTGCAAATCGGATCATTTTTCTCAGTCAAATCCGAAGGGGAGGTTGGATTTTTCCCATCAGCAGTGTTTCGGGACAAAATCAGAATCTGGGTCGATGGCTAGTCTCTATGTGAAGGCTGTACCTCCGGCGGATCTGAACAGGAACACAGAATGGTTTCTGTATCCTGGTGTTTGGACCACCTATATTCTCATTCTCTTCTTCGTTTGGCTTCTCGTCCTCTCTGTATTTGGCTGCTCTCCTGGCATGGCCTGGACCATCGTCAACCTATCCCATTTTGCTGTATGTGCATCTATATTTCTTCTCTTGTTGATTTTTTTTTTTAATCTGGGTTTTGTTTCATTTCTGGGATATCATCATTGAACGTGGGATTGTTGTTGACTTGTGCTATTAATTTTTGGGTCATCCTGCGGCTTGGTTTCAGTGTTTGTGTATTGTTTTATGCTGCTTTAGTTCCCTTCAATTTAATCTTGTTGAGGATGCTGGGTGAGATTTCATTTGGTTGATTTTGTCTAGACAAAAGAAAAACAGCCAACTGTTGTGGCTTCGTGTTTACGCTTGCTTTGATAATTACATGCCTATTGAACTGCCATGTATGTAAGGAATTTTGTATTTACTCTGTATACAGGGTTATGGTAGATAAATATTCTATTTTCTTTGATTTCATAACATTTTTCCGTGATTGTTTTATTTCAAGCTTCGAGCCATTGATACTCTTTGGCTATTGTTTTGAAAAGACATCTCATTTTATATGCAAGTGTGGATCTTTCTGGATTAAGAGTCAGTGAACTCTGTTTAGTATTGGCCTGGACATACCCGCTTCAATGCGTGGTTCGCTCGCCTTTCTAGAGAGCCAGCTATGAGCTTAGAATGATTTAGAACGTTCTGTTGCTCCATTCTTTGAAGTGATATGCTCTCTGACTTTGCTTAAAATGATGGAAAGGAGCATGTGTCTTATTTCAGGTCACTTACCACTTTTTCCATTGGAAGAAAGGGACACCCTTTGCTGAAGACCAAGGGATGTACAACCGATTGACGTGGTGGGAGCAGATTGATAATGGAAAGCAGCTTACCCGCAACAGAAAGTTCTTGACTGTTGTTCCCGTGGTGCTGTAAGTTGTTTATTATATCAAGCGACCTATGTACTATTTAACTCTGGAATCACATTTCAAACTGTTTTTGTTTGAGTTGTTTATTGTTGTCTATTTTACTGAACTCCTAAATTTGGGTGGGCTGTGGGACGTCTTGCTCTTAGTCTGCATATCTTTGACAGTCAATATCTTTCTGTGTTCTATTCTACATTGCTGCATTTTGTTTTTCAGTATTCATCTTCGTAGCTCTTCCGATGATTGATTGTAAAACTCTATTGACTAAATAGCCTCTTGTATGGAACTCAAAATCTGTAGGCTTGCGATTCTAGGGATAAGCTTACAAATTTTCTAGTTGACGCTGATCTTAACAGGCTTTGAATGTATGAATTCTTGATTGAATTTTAGGATCTCCATTTCTTTCTCCAATATATGAGATTTGCTGTAATAATTTTCTATTAGGAAACATTCACATGGCTACTTCTACTAATTTCCTTAGAAGAAGTGGCTAATTGGTCCTCCTGAAGCGATTACGCACGTTAGATCTAGCAATTTCAAAGTGGTAAAGGGGGACAATGTCTTATTTTGGACTGATTGATTGCACTCTATAACAGACGTTTCCTAATCTGTTTAGATGATCTTTGGGTCAAGACAAAATGGTGTAAGAAATGTGGAATGGCTGAAGTTGGGATCTTAGATTTCTAAGTGGCTGTTTTAATTGAGAGTTGGAGGAATGGTTCAACCTTTTTATGCTTCAGGATCAAGTTTTCCGCCCCAAAATGGTGCAAGAAAGTGCTCAGCTTAGGCTTTTTTGTAATTACTCCAGACTCCATCATTCTAAACTGAAGATCTTTTTGATCTCCTCCTTTAGGGAAAAGGGGCTAGGTTTTGTTTGGCTGTGGTCTTTTGAATGATCTTCATTTCTGATATAACAAATAATTAAAATAAAAAATCCTGATTCCCTGTATTCGTGTCTTTCATCTGTAATTTTTTTTCTATTACTCTGTGATAAGATGATGGCTGGTGCAACAAAGTTTGAATAATTCGTCGTTTGTTGTTTGTTGTGAGATCCCATATCGATAGGAGAAGAGGGGAACGAGTGCCAGCGAGGACGCTGGCCCTGAAGGGGGGGTGGGTTGTGAGATCCCATATCGGTTGGAGAGGGGAACAAAACATTCTTTATAAGGGTGTGGAAATCTCTCCCTACCAGACGCGTTTTAAAAACCTTGAGGGGAAGCCCGGAAGGAAAAGTCCAAAGAGGACAATATTTGCTAGCGATGGGCTTGGGCTATTACATTTGTAGATTTTTATATTTTCTTTAGAGGAGGTAGCGGGGTTCTCTTTGGTTGAAAACCAAACTGGGTCAACAAAGCTGAACCAAGCAAAGTGGATTATGCTCCGTTTTGTTTCATTCGGTCTTTAATAGTTTTGTTTAAAAATATAACATGTGGGGTTGAGATTCGACCTTTTAACCTTTTGATGGAGGGTATGTGTGTAAACGAGTTAGCTAAGCTTAAGTTGACCGTGTTTTAACACTATTTGTCTTGAGCTTGGCCTTCATCTACACAGCCTTATTTTCGGATGTTGAGTTTTCTACCCTGGTTAGATCCATAAAAGTTCAGTTTTTTACCAAAAATCAAAAATTATATTATACTGGTTCCATTCGAGTAACTTGTATTATTTTTTAGATTTTATGCTTGAAGTTGCTTCAGATTCATGATGCCTCTTTTGTACTGTTTTGGTATTGCTAAAGGCATACACAGACGGTTTGCTGCAATTTTTCGACAAACTGTTTATTGAGAGGGTGTGGTAAGGACAATCTGATGTTTGTCATAATTCCAATTTATAGTGTGCTCGGTGTAGGTATTATTAAGTATACCCATGTTCTTTAATTCTTTCAGTGCCTGTTGCCAACTATACTTGATGAGTTATCACAGAAGGATTGGCCGGACTCCCACTCCATTTGAGTCTTGACTCTTCTTGTTCCTTCATCTTCTCAACCTTTGGTTCCTTATCTTGAACCACATCTTCACTCTCCTTACTCTTGCTATCTTGAACCACATATAACAAGTTGGCACGTTTTAGAAGTAAAAAATTTCCCTAGGATCTTGCTATATGGAGGGTACAGATCAACACTCATGTCAGGAAATAGGGAGATTTCAATCTTTTTTTCTTCAGTACTTTTAATATGTTCGTGCTTAAAGATGAAAAACCGAGTATGCATCGATGAACAAGTGTATGCTTACATTCCTCAGTGCAATCAGCTTTTAAGCTATTACGCATAATCATCAAAATGAAAACTTCCCTCAATTTTTCTTCTTATTGTACAGGTACTTGATAGCCTCACACACAACTGACTATCAACATCCAATGTTATTTCTGAACACGCTTGCAGTAATTGTACTAGTTATTGCCAAGTTTCCCCATATGCACAAGGTACGTATCTTCGGAATCAATGCCGACAAGTGACGCTCACATCCAAACATTTCTGGTTGGGTTTGTCAAAAAGCGTCTCGTCCTCTCAATCTGGTAAAATGTTATATCTTTGTATAGTAGTTGGGACTGGAAAGATACTGAACAACTTGTAGTTTTTTTTTTTTTTTTTTTTGTTTTGTACTGACTGCTTGTTTCGCCTGTTGCTTAATGAATAAGTAAATGCAGTTATCTTTTACACAGTACAGAAATGCGATGCATTTGAGTTTCTCTGTTCTTTTTTTTCAATTACTTTTTTGGACAATAACATACACTTCATAGTATCTGATAGTTTGCATTGAAATGAAAGTGCTCTGTTTCCATGGGAAACAAGAATAAGAAGAAGAAGGTCAGAAGAAGAACACAGTAAGCATCGATTGGCCCATGCATGGAAAAACATGCATATTGGTTGGTAAAGACTGGAACAGGTAAAGAAAGAGTAAAACATGGGATTTAGTTGAGTAAAAAAGACATAGATCCCTTCATGTTTCTTTGTGTTGTTTCTGGTTTTATGTAAGTGGTATGACTTTTTCTGGCTGATTGAGGTTTTGCTTACTACTGGAAGTGGAGAAGTGGAGGAGTGGAGGAGTGGAGAAGTGGAGGAGTTCATCATGAATCAAACTCATTATCTTACTTTACTTTACTTCACTTTACTTCTGTCTCACTCATGTTTCCTTTATATTTGGCTATCTTTCAGACATCATCAATACTACTTATAATGCACACACGAAACAAGGATTGCTTTCCAAGTCTACTCTTTAATAATAATGATAATAAAGGCATTGCCTTTTGTCTTCTTTAATTATGAAATGATGAAACAGATTGGCCCAATAAAATTAGAAACATGTAGAAGACTTCTTAAAATTACAAATTATGAGTAGCTTCCATGGATAAAACTAAACTTTATTAAAATAAAAATCTTCATCATTATTATTATTATTCATATCTTCATGCATAATAACACCATGAAACTGTTGTGTATTCGGTACAGAAGGAGAGAGAAAGCGTGAAGATATATAAAACAGAAAATTGATACATAAAAACTTGTTTGTTAGCTTTTTTTAGTACAACACCTTCAAACGAATCAAAGCCAAACCCAATCCAAATTCACAAAAGAAAACCAGAGAAATATAAATCAGAGTTCAGAAAGCCCAGCTTAACAATTTCATATACTGAAGTGTTTTTTTTTTTTTTTTGTTTTTTTGTTTTAATGTCACGTGTAAATTACTGCTCATAATTCTGATCTCTCGAATGTTTCTACCATGGCCCTCCACTAAACATCCCATTCCAATACCCATTACTACCAGGATTCTCTTCCACCGCCGTGTCTCGGGCCGGATACGGCATCAAATTCGGTATATAAAATCCAAATCCTCCGTGCCCGCCGTTTTCTATCCCCGCCGCCGCTGCCGCCGCCGCCGTCGTCGTCGTCGTCGTCGGAAAACCCAAATTGAGATCATGGGCTTGGTATACCGGCTGCGGCGCGTGGTTGGCCGAAGCCGACCCAGTAACCGAAGCCGCCGGTTTACGATTCTTCCGGGAGCCTCCTCCGACAGGGATGTTCCTAAGAGAACCGCCCTCGGTCCAATACCGGCGGCAAGATTTGCAAAAATACCTCGGCTGTGTGAGGCTGTAGTTATTGTAGTAGCAGAACTTGGTGTTGGTCGACTTGCACCTTGGGCAGTTCAATTGCTCTTGTGGCCTTCCCTTCGCCTTGAAGCCTCCACCGCCACCGCCGCCTCCGCCGCCGCTGCCGCTGCCGGACTGCATCATGGCCTCCATTTTTGAGAATCTTGGAAGCAGGAGAAAAAACCCAGAAAAGATTGAGAGAGAAAAACAGTAATTTGGAAGGAAAAGTGAAGGTTTTTTGGTGAAGCTAATGATGCATATATTGAAGAATGTTATGCATGCCCAAAAGAAAGAAAGAAAGAAAGAAAGAAAGAAGGAAGGAAGGAAAGAAATGGCAGTACTTTAAGCAAGAAAGAATGTTTTAGGTTGTTTGTTTGCAGCCCTTTTGTGTCGGTTTGTTTCATTTAATTATTTGTAAAATTGTGAAAAGTGCGCTTGTTTTGACAAAATTGTACCATCCCACTAAGATCCTCAAATTGTTTTTTTTTTTTTTTTTTCTTTTAATTATTTGTGTATGCTTTTTGGTCTTATTCTATGAATCTCTCTCTCTACTCAATTTGGTTTGGTGTGAATTAATTATTTATAATATTTCAAACATTTTCCAAGTCTTTTAAAATAGTGTGAATTGTACGTGGTGGGTTTCTCCTTTTTGACCCAAAAATTCTACTTTATATTTATTATTATTATTTTTTTAAAATAGTGTGAATTGCTGATCAGACTGGTTTCTCAAGCAACTCAGATTGCTCATTAATCTACAACCTAATCCCATTAACCTTCATTCTTATTGGTGTTCAAATATTAATTTCAACGCTCTCTAGATTAACTAGTCGTACGTAATTTTGTAAGGACGTGTCTCATACATCACGCACATAACTCTTAAACACAAAATTAGATTAAACATCCCTTACAAGGGTGTTGATGTCCTCTAAAACTTTGATGAAAGGTCCGATAGAGCATTAGAGTCAGAGAGGGGTATATAATTTAGTTTGATGGGACGTGGGACGGAAGCGGTGGGACCCAAGCAATGCGCGTAGGGATTGAAGACAATCTTTGTGTTTGGTGTTGTTGGGTTATCCTTTCCATGAAAACGACTGGCTTCAGATAGGAAAAACACTTCTGCAACTCCTGGGCGTTATCCGATAATGTTTCATTTCCCTTACACCCAACAAACACCGACCCTTTCCTATCCTTCTGTTCGTTTGCATATTTCATGCTTCAAACAACTAACTCATTCCAACTTTTCATTCCTTTTGTTTCAGGTTGAAGAGCATAAGAATTGAGTTACATACAGATATGGCCATGGGAGTCGGGCAAAAAGAACTAGATATCAACCAATATCATCTCTACTAACAAAGAACTAGATATCAACCAATATCATCTCTACTAACGACCAAAGGGTCGGAGGATTATTTTCAACACATCAGTAACTAACTATATCAGTTGATTTCAAGATAGCAGCTTGTTGTTATCAATATACCTGCAAATCGAGGTGCAATTGCTAAGGGTTTATCCGCTCTGATTCCCATAATGTCTCCCTTCCAAGACATGGAATAGCTTTAAACAACTTCCTTTCTGCACTCTTCAGATTCAAGTAATCGACCTGAGAGCGAAACGCGGTCAAATGTAACATAAGGTAAAAGAACAAGGTCATATACTAATCTAGAGAAATATGTCTATATATATTACAAACCTGATCAGGATCCAAGACCAGCAAACAAAATGCATCAACAGGACCTGAACAAGAATCTAGAACAGGTTCCTTGGCTGGCTGTTCGGCAATATAGGGAAGATTTGGACTAGGCCCCAAATACTGCATTCTTGACTTTGGAGAAATGGAGGACCAGGCTTCTGCTCTTTTCTGCATTAATAAATATATAAGATTATACTGAGTTGAACGAAGTGAACAAGAAAGTGAACTGTTGAAAATTTAGAACAAGTTGTAAGTTATAAGAGGAAAGGGTCATGCCCACAACCTTAAATTTTGTAGCATCGAGGCATGACGCATCAACAACCTCAATTCTTCCACTGATACGAAATTGCTCCCATGATTCGGTGAAATACCAACTTATCTTGAAGAACAAAACATTCCAAGTCCAAAATTTGACTCAAATTGGCACATATTTGCAGTCATGTAAATAAGATAAGCTACATAGACCAGCAAGAACAAATCATTTGTATTACGAACTGTATTAAGAGGCAGGAAGAGACGAGAATAGTTACCTCAGCAAATGGACAAGTTTTAAGCTCTTCAATCTGCAGAATCAACCAAAAGTGAAAACTTCATTTGCAGGACAAAACTCAGATGCTTAATATCACAAACCTGACCTAATCCATCGCAGACAAATTCCCAGTACTGAGCATATTTTATAGCTTATCTTATTGTAGCCAAACATATGAATTACATAATTGAAAATCCAGAAAATCCAGAAAATCCAGAAACCCAGACAACGATTGCGTCGGAAACCATAGAACAACAAGAAGTGGGCGTATGAATTCAGCGATCTAAAACGAAATATAGAGCTTCGACGTAGAAGAACCTTGCGACTTCTTGAATCCGTGTAAATACGGATCCCATCGGTGCCCTCTTCAAATCCTCTGAAAACAACGGTGCGATTTGATGGCCTTCCATTGCCTCCAATCGTTGCCTGAAAACAAATTCCATTTAAAAGATAAAACCCGACTGTGGAAAAGGGAAAGGGGAGTTAAAGTTGAAGATAATAGAGATAGGGAAATGTACGAGGTGCAAGAATCTGGAATGCGTGATTTGGGCATTAGATTCCAAAGCACTGAGAAGAAGGGACTTCCATGGCGCCGCTGCCGATCCCATTTCCTAATTGCCCGCTAATTCGCCTACTGCTCTGCTCTATGTATTCGCCTACTGCTCTGCTCTATGTATTCGCAGTTCGGTACATCATTGAGAAATAGTAAGCGAAATTCAGTAATTTACTTTTAGCTTTCAATTTTACCACAATCTTTTATCCATACACTAAATTATTAAAATGAATAAATACATTAAATCATTTTTATTGGATTGGTCGGCGTGGAATTACGTGTGTTCTTGCCCATCTTTGTTTTGTCGTGAACATCAGAAGGGAGCTTACTGTTTCGCTAAAACTCACAGGCCTGCAGACAGGTTAGCCGCTACAAACCACTCTACCAAATGAACAAACAAGAAACAACACAAAAATGGTTTCTTGCAAACAGAGTCTTGAATGACACGACATCGTTTCAATCCTCCACCTTTCACCTTCAATCTCCTTGCTCATTGCTGAACCGCTCCCTTCAGAAACCGACAGCAAAGAAAACATTAAAAAATCAGCAGAATTTGGACGACTGACACCTCCTTTCTACCCTCTCCTCTCCCAGATGCGTCATCTTCTTCCTCTGCCTCTACATTTCTTGAATCTTTGAACTTCTTGCTTTTGACCCACATCCTGTAATTCTTTGAGTTCGATTTCCAAGGTACCCACTTCCTCTATTCCCTTCATTATTTAGTTCCTTGCAATTTCTTACTGGTTTTGAATCATAGGGTTGCTTTCATTCTGATTTTCAGCTTGTTTATGTTACCGAGCTTCTCTTTGTTGTGTTGGTGAGTTGCTTGATTTCTGGGTCTTCTTTTTTTAGTTTGATTCTCTTGGGACTGCTAATTCTGGATCCCTTTTCTTTGAATATGTAAATATGCGCCTATAATGGTTACTTTCTATTGCAACTACTGTTCACCAAAACAAATGAATATCGATATTCATTGGGCCTTATTAGGAGGCTTGGGGAGGGTGCTGTTTTCACGTGAACATAAATTTTGATTAGAAACAAGTTCTACTTGAATGTTCAAAAGATAGGAGTTTGATGGCAGCAGCAGAAGCAAGGGCTGGTTTTCAGAGGACTGTTAATCGTTGCTTTGTCCAAGAAGATGCCAAAAGAGCTCCCAGATTAGCTTGCTGTCAATCATCATCTTCAACATCATCCAAACAGGTTGAATCTGAACCTGCCAATCCAGCAGCAGATGGGCCACATCAACCTTCCATAGGATTTATTATGCCTTTTACCAGACCTTCCTCATATTCGAATTTACTTCCCGACTCGAAATGGTGGCTTCAGATGCAATCTAGCTATGGATACCAAAAGATCTTCACCCCAGAAGACATTAACCCTTTAGAGGCTGCCAATGAAACTTCGAAGTCGGGTACTGAAAAATCATGTACATCAAGTGATGTTCATCCGCCTGGAGGTAGCAATACTGTCTGTGGAACTGATGATATCAGCAGGTCTTCTCTAGATACCGATCATGGTGGCTCTGCTCTTTGTATAAAGACCTTGGATGGTAGAGGCCCTCAAGATATGAAAACAGACTTTGAATGTTTAGATAAGGATTCTTTCAACAGAAAAACAGTATCAAAAAATCAAGATGAGTGTTACTTGGATCCAGATTCTCTTTGGATGCAAGAGGGCAAGACTGAGCCATGGTGGTGGATAACAGATAAAGATGAATTGGCCTATTGGGTTGCACAGAAATCTCTTGATCATATCGAGAATTGCGATCTTCCACCACCTAAAAAAACATGCTTGAACATTAAGACATACCCTAATGCTCAAAAGCAATGCTATGAACATGATACAATATGGGTTTCTTCCTTCGAGTCAGACCACCAAAATTGTGGGCTTGAGTTTTGTCCTCTTAGCAAAACACGAAGGAACCTGGGTGCATCGATTAAACAAGGGAACGTGCCGCGTGGATCTCTTAAATATTTGAGGTACTATGTAAATTCCTAATTGCTGCATTTCTATGAATTCCTGGTTTGCAATTTTTTTTTTTTTTTCTTTTGAATATGTTAGAAATCACGAACCTCCACGATGGTATGATATTGTCCACTTTGAGCATAAACTCTCAAACAAAAAGCCTCATATCAATGGAAGTGTATTCCTTACTTATAAACCCATGATCAACCCCCTAATCAGCCGATGTAGGACTCCTCTCCCAACAATCCTCAACAGAATATTCTAGAGGGTTCTTACCAGGTTTTCAAAAGTTAGTATTCGAGGATAGAATGATTTGATAGAGCAGTAGCTTTTACCAGTCTGTGATAAATGGGCATTGCCATTCTTTTAGAATAGTTATCGAGCCAAGTTAATTAGTCTAGATGAATGCATAGATTACTCATCCAAAGCAAGGCCTTACTAAGATATAACTGGAACTGCTATGTTGAGTGCAGCTGTACAAATCCCAACAACCTGACAAAAACAATACAAACCTCTGAGGATAATACTAGCAAAGCTGAACTAATGGATGCACTCCTTCATTCTCAAACCCGCGCAAGGGAAGCCGAAATTGCAGCAAAGCGAGCTTATGAGGAGAAGGAGCATGTAGTTGAGCTTTTCTTCAGACAAGCATCCCAACTCTTTGCATATAAGCAATGGTTTCAACTGCTGCAGCTAGAAAGGCTGCAGATAAAGAAGAAAGATCATCCAATGTCCACTCTTTTTCCTTTGGTTCTTCCATGGATGTCCTACAAGAATATGGTATCTATGAAGAGACGGCGGAGATTTTCTAAGCAGAAAAGGGTCGAGCCGAATCTGCACAGAGGTGATATTTCTACTTATGCCGTTGCTTTTGTTCTAGGATTGAGCCTGGTCAGTGCAGGTTTGCTTCTGGGGTGGACTGTAGGTGGATGCTTCCTTCTTTCTAGGCCTAGTTTGAATGAACTTGTTTTAGAAGAGAAGATCAATTGACAAAGGTATGTGTATCATAGCTTTCCAATATGTGGAATGTCGTTTGTATATACGAGGATTACATTTGAAGGAAGAGAAAGAATTCCATATGACAGATCCAAATCAGTGTTACTCTGATGTTTTCCATTTCTTGAAAATTGTCGAAAACAAATGATCATTCAACGCATAAAAGTCTTAACATTATTTCTGTACAAGAATGTCAAGTATGTAAGATCTCAGCCATTAATTAAACCATCAGTCCTTCATATGACCAACGAGCTAAACATTCTGATGATTACCGATGCTCTTTCTTAAGCTTTTTTGCTCTTCCATGGAACGTTGATCTGTTTCAGCCCCTCGCCTATGCTTCCCTGCAATTCCTCAACCAGTATGAGTTTATAAGTTTCGTTAACATATATAAAGCCAGAGAAAAAGAGGGGTGATTCTAAAATTACCCAAAACTCAGTCTTGGCTTTGACAAGACAAGAAGAAAAGCTCCCTTCTTTCTGGGTCTCTGCAACCTTCATCCCTGAACTGCTTCTCTCTGCAACAACTCCATCTTCATTCTCCTTCTCTAAAGAAGAAGGAAATACACTTCCACAGGCAGACCCAACTTCCCCTTTGCGCCCAAAACTCAATTTTCCCAACCAACAAAACCACTCCTTCTCTATGAGCACTCCCCTCTTTCTCAGAACCATGGCTCCAAGCTGACTTTTATCATATCTGAATGACCCACAACTCTGCTTGGGAAGCTGAAAAATACCCTTGTGTGCAGGGATGGGAGGAGGGAGTTTTGAGATTTTGGGATCCAATAGCAACAATCTTGGTGGAAGTTCAAGGCACTTTGTTTGAGTGGCTGAAGAACTGTTGGGGGTTCTGAAACAGAACCTGGGTTTGCCAGGCTCCTCTTCCCATCGAAATGGGACTGACACTGAGGTGTGGATTGGTGGGGTTAGCATTCCAGAGCGATCTGGAGACTCCATTGCTGCAACTGCAAGCAATGGAAGCTTTGGCACTTCAGAGTTTCGCCATAGCTTTGCTTCACTTCCCATTTCTCCCCCTCGCCGTCTGTCTGTCTCTCTCTCTCTCTCTCCCCCTCTCTCTCCCTCTCTTCGTTGGTGGACTGACTTGAATTTGCAGTGTTAAACAGATCTTTCACTGAAATCTAAAAAAATTGCGACTTTTTTGGGTGGCTTTTCATAATGGAATAGACATGTTACAGTTAAAGATTATAGATGCAAATAATTGGAATTATTACAATTATCCTTCACATTGTTCTTCAATTCCTGTCTGTTTGGTTCATAAAGAAAGGCAGTAAACATTAGAGAGGAGAAAATCTAGTTGGGTAGCATAACTAATTTGGTCTATTATTTTTGCATTATGGAGGTTTGGTTGGAGAATTTTCAATTACCATTAGTTACATTTTAGAGAGGGGCTTGTCCATTGTCCATTGCCTGGAAGATGGTTCCAAACAAGTCATTCCTCTTTCCCCCATCACACACGGCCATTGCAGCATGCACATGACTTCTCAATCTGGCTTTGCCTTTGTCGTCTTCAACACTTTTAAAGCTTTTTCAGCTTCCAAGTACAAAGCTTGAAACTTGTGCAGACTTTATTAACCCCTCAAAATGATTTTGATAACTTTCCTGTTAGATGTAGAACTATGAGATATTTTTTAAAGCTTAGAGAGCCTATAAGATATTATATATACACTTTCTAAAATTTAGAAACGAACGAAAGAAAATGCGGAGAAAAACATGAAAGTTGTAAACAGTAATCTCTCTACACCAGCCGCAGCCACAATAACCAACTGATATATAATCTTGCAGTTGAATATCACAGCAATGTGATACAAGTGCTTACATGTGAGGTCAAAATGACAAAGGAAAGTTTAAAATAGGAGCAAAAGAAGAGAAGAAAACTCGATGCAATATTACAACTCTTTTAGACCGCAATGAACATCTAAAATTCGCTCGTGAATGCATACACAAAATGACAGACAGGTAAAGTTGAATACATAAAAGAGGATGAAGGGGATGGAAGTCTTAATCAAAACTTGGTAAACCGGGTTTGATGGCCTCGCCACCAACTGGAAATTGCAGAATCTTCCACATCATTACCACAATTGTAGAAGCAAACGATGATTTGAAATTTGAATAGACCACCAAATGGAACAAACGCCAAGAGATAAATATGATTAAAGATCAACTTCGCCACAAAAACCTGTTTCAGCTCAGCACAAAATCCTGAAAGGTCGCAGGCGTACACGATTAGATACACGATTAGATACGAGGTGATGTGAGCACTTTGAGATTAATAACACAAGTTAAAAAACATAAAATCGGTGAAATGATGATGCATAAGTAGGCTAGATAAGTAAGCATTTTGACTGATTCCATCTTCACCTTCACAACAAAAGGTGTCCATACCATATTCAAAACACCAAAATCTTGGGCATTAGCCATCAAGAGTAAATTGATTCCATTTTATAACTAGCCATTTCTTCTTTTCAGGACCTGATAAAATTCCCGTCCAACGGCCAAGTGCAGACCATTGGAATATCTTGAGCAACAAATAGATAATATTCGTTCCCAAATCCCAAAAGGATACTAGAGTGTGCAAAAATATCATAATCAACAACGGATATAATATAGAAAACGTGATGATGCATTCATAAAGTATTCCGGACTTCAAAGAGCAGAGAATCATAGATCGATCAATATTAAAGAACAAATATGCCATGTACGACCAAATAAATTGCTCAACATTATCTTGCATGGGATGCGAATGAACGGACCAGATTTAAGTAGTATCTATAAGTGCACCTTTTTACATAGATAATTTACATCCATTTAGTTAACACACAAATAGTGTAAAACACAGGCACGATAGCTAAAGCCATTATCAACCTCAACCAACAGGATTTAAATAAAAAATACAAACTTCACACATGAAAAAAAAAATTATATAGGAATAATAACTTACTCAAGCTATTGGAAGATTATAAGATCCGCAAAACTGAAGCAATGCAGATTGATTTGTAGGGTCAAGATACTGACTGATGATTTGGGGATACCTCCCAGGAGAAACAGTAGAAAGTTTGGACAAAGATGCTACCAGAAATTGCTTCGGATCCTTTATATCTTTCAGAGGATCATCCTCCTTCTTCCCTGCATTGTACAGACGAACAAAACTTGCAGTATAACCAGCATTTTCAGAAATATCGGGCATCTCTGGCTCCTCATCAACCCTATCCTGTTCGGGTCGAGAAACAAGGGTAACAATGCTGTCCAGCATTTTCCCCCAGTCTTCAACAAATGCAGGATCCAAAAGTGCTGGACACTCACAGATAAGTCTCGTTGAAGCAACTGCAGTTAGCTTAAGTTCAATGGCCCCAGTTATCAGTTTAAGATTAGGAATCCAAAACTGTCTCAAGATTTGGATAAAAATGCCGTTCTGAACACTGTTGATGGTATCCAAAAGATTTTTATGACCATTTTTAACAAGAAAAAGGGACATAAATATCAAAAGCGACTTGATGAACTTTACTGACCGTCTACTTTGGAGCTGTCCAAAAAGAACAGCCCAGATGTGGCCAATGTACTGTTGAATCACACTATATTCAAGAGAATCAATAACAGTGTTGAGAACGTAAAAGCCTTGCTCTGCAGTGCTTGGAGATGAGACTAGATTACTAAATATTCCAAGAACCTGGCTCAGGCGTCCACCTTGATTAAGTTCATGAGGTGCCTTCTGAAGGAAAGCCTGAAGTAACCGTACAAGAGCTGGGACATTAGAGGCTCTTTTCCAAGATTCAGGTGACAATAGGATCTCAAAAATTTGCATGTAGCTTGGTGGAATAGGAGGATTATTCAATTCAACAAGCTGTGCTAACAGTTGAAAAGCATAAGGGAAGAACTCCGTAACATCATTGGCCAGTATCATTTGAAGGCTGGGAAACAGGCTTGCCTCAAAAGCTGATATTAAGGATGGATCCCTTTCACAAGCCCTTCTAATAAGAAGGGCCACAGATTCAAACATATAGTGGTTAAAAACAGGATTTTTGGGGTTTCTACACACATCATTTAAAATAGAAGTCAACCCAGCAATGCATGGTCCTGCAACCTCACGAGGTATATCAGCAACTCCAAGAACTCTCATTATACACTTCATAATGTATTGGTTCTCCTCAGATTCGGGAAACTTAAAGGCATTAAAGAGTTTAGTCATCATCTCAGGAAAAAATGGAGCAACATCCAGAGAGTTGTACCTGGCCATACCTGAATCTTCCTTGACCAGCAACAATTTTTCAATACAAATTGCAGCATAGGAATGAACCACATTTGACTCTGAACCAAGGAACCGAACCAAATCCGGAAACATTTGTAATGCAACAGGCTTTGATATCAGATTACGGAACACAGCAAAGAACTTTAGTGCGCCTGCCTTCAGCATTGGTAGACCATTAACATCTGAATTATTCAATTCTGGAATGATTACTGATGCAAAAAAATTCTGAACATCTACAAGATCGGTAGAAACAGAAGAGCCCCCAGCTTTCTTCGTGGCAAGTGAGACAACCAAATATATCGCACAGTCTTTATCTTTCCAATTCAGAGCAGGGTTTAGTGCAAATGAATTTAACAAGTTTTGTATCTGAGAGGATACCATGTCTGTCACCTGCTTTTTGTAATTGACGGCAATTCCTTTCAGAAGTTCGCAAGCTATCCGCCTTCTAGTATCCAGATCACTACCTTCCATATCCCTCCTAATGAACTCAACATAGTTCATTTCAAATAGTTCCTCATCTTCATCCCTCAGCCTTACATTGGGAATTACTATGCTCTTACAAATCTCAGGTATCACTCCCTCGCCTGCAAATAAGGTGTGATGTACACTCGTGCTAACAGTAGTCAAAAACTTCATCGCTGTAACAGCCAGCTGGTCTCGGCTGGATGACTGAGATACGTTCCCTAGTAAGCCCCACACGGCTAGAGCAAAATCGTTCAAGTAACCCTGAAACTCTTCTTCATTTTTTTCCATATAAAGATTAATATTCTCGCAAACAGCAGCACGAAGCTCATCAACTAGAGCAAGCCCGTCAGTGCCACTATTTTCGAGAGCAGGATAATTCGTAGTAAGGTATTTCCGGAATTCACTCATCCACTCTTTCATATGATCCTCAAAGAACTCGGGAAGCTCTTGAAAATTCAAGGAATAAAATATTCTACAACATAGCCTCTGGGACTCAAACAGGGGCCGCAGGGTGGCCGCCTGTGCGCCCGAGCTCACCGCAGAATCAATTAAAGCAGCAGTTTTGAGAAAAATTTCTAATAAGGGTGCCGCAAAAGTGTCCAGACAATACTTCAAGTCAAGCAAAAGATCATTGGTTTTATATTGATACCGAAACTTCTTAAATATAGAGCTTGCAGTGCCAAGAATACCGTTAACAGATGCATAATCGGAAGCCTGAGACGCTTTCTGCAGACTTACGACGAGCTCCGGGAGCAAGGAAGGCCAGGATTTCGGGAAGTCGTGTTGGCTGATCAAAGCCAAAGCCTCACTTAGCTGACTCTGGATTCGTTGCGCAGAGGAGAGCATGAGCGGGACAATTAGGGCTTTGATTTGGTCCTTCTCGTGGTCGGGAATCGAAGCCAGGGAAGAGGCATTTGACTCGTCCGGCGCGCCAGGTGCCCATCGAACCCGCAGATGGTTTTTGAAGTTGACAGCGGCCGCTTGACGGATCTGTTCATCGACGGATGGTTCGGCGACAAGACGAAGGACAGCAAGACCGTAGTTGGGACGGTCGGCGGCTTCGGCAAGGGAGGCCTCGGCCCGTCGGCGGGGCTCAGGAGCTGGAGAGAGTGTGTGAAGAAAACACTGAGAGAGAAGCTGTAGGGTTTCTGGGTTCCACTCCATTGCGCATAGAGATGAATGGCAAACCCAAATCGAAAGCTGAGTTTGCGAAGGGATCTTGAAGGGGATGGAAATCGGCAATTCGGGAGGGGACTCTTGAGAATGATGATGATTCAATTTGAAGGGGAGAGCGAAGGCCGAAGAGGGCAATTGTGGGCTGGGTTTTAGAGGTTTTTCAAATAAATACATCATTACAAGATTTAAGAGCGTTTACCAACAGATAATTTAATTAATAAATCTACTCATCTTATGTAATGTGTTTTCTTTCATGCTTGTAAGAACGTTTAGGAATATGTTATCCTAATCCTCGTTCAGTTGGGACATATGGTGTCAAATCTTATCAACTCAAAACCACTCTACATGAGTCGAGCAAACTTTAAATGGGAGACCATCTTCAACGTTGAGATACCCTTGGAGGTTAATCATGCATATCACACCTTATAATATGTCATCTTAGACTTAGCACCCTAAATCTACACGAGAAGATCTCGGGCACTTATATCGGGGGGGATAACTCTGGACCTGCACTGGTTTGTACACGAATGTGTGAGTTATACCGGATACTCAATTGAAGCATGGAGAGAA